CTCTAAGAAGAAACACTTTAAAAATATATTTTTATTGTTTTATATCATACATTTCCTTTCTCGATAGACACCTGTGCTCTCTAAGAAGAAACACTTTAAAAATATATTTTTATTGTATTATATCATACATTTCCTTTCTCGATAGACACCTGTGCTCTCTAAGAAGAAACACTTTAAAGATACCGAGGAACTGGGAGATGTGAACGAGGTTTTACCTCACAATCCCTCCTCTTTATAAAATGAAGTTGTGTTCCATACTCTAATTCTGTTTAGGTATGAGAGGGGTAGACAATGTCATATTCTGAAAAGAGGAAAGTATTCTTCTAAGTAATCCACCTATTTGGTAAATGGCACAAGGATAGGTTATAGTATAAAATAGGTATGAATCATATAAAACCAGTCTGGTGTAGTGATCTAGATATCGGGCTACAAAACAGGAGAGTGGCTCTCTAGTTGTAGTTCCACCTTGGGCATGGAGCCAACTGAGTGACCTTGAGTCAGTAGCTCTCATCCCTGGGAAAGAGACAGTGGCAATCCACTTCGGAATTCCTGCCAATAAAACTACAGGGATCTGTCCAGGCAGTGGTTAGGAATCAAGTCTGACTCAAAGGAATGCCAAAAAATTTCATACAATTAATTTGTGATTTACTATCTATCATCATTTATATGAACAAATGCCTTTGAAGCTCTTCTCTTATCCAGTTAAGCCACCGAGGATTCTGCTGAATATAGTTTGGTGGAATAAAGGAGCTGTGGCAGAAGAGAGACTACATAATGTTCCTTAGTAACCAAATAAGGTTTTTTTAAAATTTATAGAATCTTAATTCACGCATGACTGGTAGGATTCAAATGCGGTTCCTCATACAAATGCAAATTGTGGCTGAAGGATGAACTAAATGATTCCAGCTCCATGATTCTATTTCTATATATCTAGAAGGTCCTTGGTTCAGATACTTGCTAAAGTTAAAGATTATTAAACAGTGTTAGGAAGCCAAAAACATCTCAATTTCATCTGATTGATTGATTATGCGCCATCAAGTCAGTATTGACTTTTGGTGACCATATTGGTAATTTTTTTTCAAATGCTCCCCAACCTGGTCCTTTAGGTCTTCCAATGGTATATTTATCTCCATTGTAATTTAATCCATCCACCTTACTGCTGGTTGTCTCTTTTTTCTTTCCACCTTTCCCTGCTTTAAGAGCCTTCTCTAGAGAGCCATGTCCTTACTTAGTAAAGATTTGTGAAAATTCTGGGATGTTTTGCTTGATGATCCTCCCAACCACCACCCTGCCTTGGTCATCCATTGTATTCTCAGGAATCGTTTCCTATATCAGAGTTCAAAAGTATCAGTCAGTACCTTGTTTCTTCATTCCTTATTATCTACAAAATGGGAGACTAATCCTGGTCCACTTGACAAGAATTTTGTAAGAATCCTTGAGAACACATATGGGATATTTTCCTAAATGCATTGGTGTACAACTTAGGCTCTAAGACAGTGATGGCAAACCTTTTCGGCACTGAGTGCCAAAAGGAGAGTGCACGTGCTCGNAATCTACTGTATAATCTAATGTTGTATACAAAACATTTGAGGTACATGTACAGAAAGGCAGTTGATTCTGGAACATGTGGACATATTTCTACCAGGATTATCTCTTTCATGTGGGAGAGAACCACTAGGTGGGACATACTGACTTTTGAAAGACACTATCTGCTTAATAACACTGCATAACAGTCTCCAAATGCTTTAGGTGACTCTAATATTTAGATAAAACAATAAGATAGAAATGTTAGTTTAAAGTTTGGGATTTCCACACTGCAACAATGTGTGTGGCCTGTCTTACTCTTTCACCTTCCAGTGATCATAACTGCCCATCATGTTTATCTAACAAAAGCAAAATCTGTATGTCCAGATATGACAAAAAGTTAGATAACACAATTAAGGATCTGCTGAAGGAAGAGCTAGTAGATAGGAAATAATTAGAGAATACAGCTTTTATTTTAATAAAAGTGAAAGGACATAGTTTTGTTTTTGAAAGTACCATACTAAAAAATTAGGAAAATGTGCTCTGTTCTTTTAAGTTGCTTTGTGTAGTTTGATATTATTTTTATTTTAGGACTGAATCAGATTTTTGTTGTTGTTGTTTCTTTTCCTTCTCTATATTAGACTTTATATTGAGGACTATGCAGTCACAAGATTTTGCTGTAGCTCAGAATTGGATCCAAACTAAAAGAGAGGATATTGTCCATCAGATGACTGACACTTGCATTAACCAGTGTTTAGATGCCCTTGTCGCCAGGGATTTAATCATGAAAGAAGATTATGAACTCATTAACACCAGATCTACAAGGACCGCAAGAGTCAGGCAACTGCTTGATACTACTGACAGTCAAGGAGAAGAAGTTGCTAGAATCATAGTACAAAAATTGAAAGATAACAAACAGATGGGACTTCAGCCTTACCCAAATATACCGCCTGTATCCAGGGGCACTTCTTTGCATCTATAAATGTCAGGACTTGCAATCTGGAATTCTGTTTCTGAAGTATCTCTTTTATGTTTCTGCTGCATGGCTCCAAACAGAGGGTCTTAGTTTGCTGGCTGAGGGGGAGGGCATCTGGCAAATGGAACTATTACACAATGTTCTTACAGTTTTTAAAAATAACAACACACTTGGACTTCCTTACTGAATAAATCTGTGTTTTGTGGAATTATTAAAAAGAAAATATAAATTATACAAAGAATATAAAATACAAAAGAATAGGCAACTTAAAGGGCATCCTGTCTTTTGAAGCATTCTGTCAATCAAATGTATCTTTAAATAGGGAAGGATTACTGGGTTAGTGAATTAGTAGAAATGTTCTAAAACACTACCCTTTATAAAGTATTTTGTATGAATATGAACCACTTCTACATGAATTTGCTTGTCTTCAATCATGAGCTTTGTAGCAAAATATACATGCCCTACTTGGCTATGCTGAACATTGACCAGACCTAATGAGACAAACCACAGATGCATTTTGCAATGCATTCACTATCGTTTTGCAGCATTGTAAAATGTGGGGGAAACCCTGTAAGTTCTTGTTGAAAGGAACATGTTCTCTGTTCATGATCTTTAAAGAACATTTCAAGCCAAGATTTGCCTGGCCCAGGGCAAAAGAACATTAATTCCCCCAAAGAGCAGAACCTGGTGCAAATGAATTGTGCTGGAATTTAGAAAAAAAAACTATATTGTTTTCATAGAGGCCCCGTTGATTATAGCTCAAATTGTTCATAAATACTTTGCTAAGATGGAAAGCAATCCATGTTCAGTGTACCTTAATGCAAAAGTAGATGTAACAACAACTTCTGCTTCAAGAAGAAACACTTTAAAAA